CCTTCCTTCCTTCCTTCCTTCCTTCCTTCCTTCCTTCCTTCCTTCCTTCCTTCCTTCCTTCCTTCCTTCCCTCCTTCCCCACTTGCTGACCACAGACATAAGTTGGGCAATATTGAGCAGAAAGTGGCAGCCAAAATAATTCCATGCACTGCTGTTAGAGCCCTTAGAAGGGGAGATGGGGGAAAGGCAGGTTAGACTGCACGAAAGAACACAGAGCAGTAGAAGTGGCCACAGGAGTTAGTCTAGAGACACGGTGGGAGATAATGGGGAAGTACGGTGTCTTGTGAGACTGGAAGATGAGCAAACTGTACAGAAGGGGGATGGATCACCCTAGCACACTGAACAGGAAGTGCTGAATTCCTAAGCTGTAGGGGGCTGGTGTATTGGGCAGCCTAAAATACACAAAGCTGTGTAATAGTAGCAGTAAGAAAAGTACTGCTGTTATTCTCAGTTTATAGATGTGGAAACTGGCTAAGCACAGGCACTTGCCCGAATCTGTCCAAGAGTACACAGATAGGAAATAGAATTTGAACAGCTTACTTCATGTTACTACACTCGCTTGTCTTCAGAGTGCAGAAAGATTTAGGACTCAATTCTGGGCTGGGTATGGTGGCATATGCCTGTCAAGTCAGTGCTCAGAGGCCGAAGCAGGAGGAATACTGTGGGTTTAACGTAAACCTGGGCTACATAGTAAGATTCTGTCCCCCAAAAGAAAAAAAAAAAAAAAAACGGAGGCTGAACTCTGGGGTAGGATGACCAGATTTGACAAATGACACAGGATACTTATATTCAGACACACAAAACGCCCATTACTTTTGTACACGTGATATCTGAGTTTTCATCTGCAATATTTGTTTGTTTGCTTGCTGTGGTTTACATGCAACTGGTCATCCTGTATTTTGCCTGGCAACTCCAACCTTGGGTCACTGAAACGCAATCCCGTGAGTAGGAATAGTTCTCTGGCTATGGTGTAGAAGCCAGACTGCAGAGGTGAAGTGCAAACCAGAGACCCGAAGAGGCTGGGATCCAGGCAGCGGGAGATCCAGGCAGCTGGGGATCCAGGCAGCTGCGTGCAGTGCCTCTGGCAGGCCCACAGAGTAGGAAGTAGAGAAGGGTAAAGACAGGTTGCAGAGTGGTCAAGACTCAGTGCTTGACAGGCCATCTGGACAATGGGTAGGAAGCATCAAGATAAAGTTTCTAGCTCAGTGACTGAGCAAGGCTGGAGACATTCTGGGATAGGACACAGGAAGTCCAGGGAGGGAGGGAGGGAGGGAGGGAGGGAGGGAGCGGGAAGGGGCACTCGGGTTGAGACCTGAGTGTGAGTGTCAGAAGGCACGTCACACCGGGTGGCTGTTTACTCTCTCCAGCCAGACACCTCTGGGGTTACATAGGAGTCTGGTTAAGTTGTGACCACGAGTTCAGACCACCTTTGGTTTGAGAGTTAGGGGGATCACTCACAGAAGCCGAACTCAGTGCAAGTCTGGTACAACCACTGCCGGTCCCCCACGCCAGACACTTGAGGTTCGGTGGTTCTCAGCTGTGCCACTGTCTCTGCCCGGGAAAAGCTTAAACACCTCTGGCCCATGCTGCGCAAGACTATCTAGGGGGCAATACACACATGCATATATACACACGTGCATGCATACATAGACACATTCCTCCTCTCCCAGCAAGCCAGGGCGCCACAGGCCTATAGTAGGGCTATAGTCAAGAGTGAGAGTTCCTGAGTTTTCTTGAGTGTCAGAAGTCAGTGGGAGGGAGGTCCCTGTAACTAAATGTCCAAGGTCTTATCATCTACAAGACCCTGGGTAAGAGTTAATCATTTTACCTATTTGCTCTTCTGTAAGTGGGGTAATAATAGTGCCTGTCGCCTGAGAAATGTATATATTTTGTGAGGTACTCTTCAAGAATTTGGGGGCTGGAGAGATGGCTCAGAGGTTAAGCGCACTGACTGCTCTTCCAGAGGTCCTGAGTTCAATTCCCAGCAACCACATGGTGGCTCACAACCACCTGTGATGAGATCTGGTGCCCTCTTCTGGCCTGCAAGCATACATGATGTATACATAATAAATAAATAAATCTTTTTTTTAAAAAAAAAAAAGAATTTGGTCCAGAATTAGAGCAGGGAAAGTGATGGCGGAAATATAATTGTAGGACGAGGTATCCCTAGAACTCTTATCTCAAGAGCCCCCCCACCCCGCTTCAGTCTTAAATACTATTGTGCACTTGCTGTTTGCCAGACACTGCTGTGGCCAAGAACAAATAACAAGATGAAAGGGATAATAATCATGGTCTCTAACATTTGTATACTGGGTGTATAGCATCTGCTTGGTTGCGTAAGAAGCTCATGTTATTATCAGCCAGGTGAAGTACACAAACCTTATTTTACTGATGAGGAATCTGAGGATAAGAGGACGGCTTCGGTTGTCTGAGCTCAGCCGAGGTGGGAGCGCAACCTTGGTCCTCTAACCCCTGGCTTGCGCGCGCGCGGGTCTGGAGAGCTTACCTGCACCGCCCGGCGAAGGCCGAGGTAGGGCGTGGAGTGACTGCGGTTGCCGGAGACCCCGAGGAGGAGTCCGCAGAGCTGGCGCACGCTTAGCGGCGCTCCGGCCTGCCCGTCGTACTGCACCGTGCCTCCTACCAGCGCCTGCAACGCGCCCAGCAACTCCCCCTGGTCTTCAGTCAGGTCCAGCGACCCGCAGGCGCTCAGCTCCTCCTTCAGCACCGCCCGAGCTGCGGGACCTGCGCGCAGCAGCCGCTCCACCTCCGCGAAGGCTGCGGAGGCCGCCGCCAGGCACTTCAGGAACGGAGAAGCGACGTTCGCGGGGGGCCTGGATTTCCCCTTCCTTGGAACTGCATCCTCTTGCGGCGGTTCCCAGCCCAGGTCCGTGTTCTCTCAATTTTCCCTCCCTCTCGCATCTCCTTTAGGTTCCTGCTTTGACTCCCGCAGACTAGACTAGGGCTCGCCAGAGGCCCCGCCCCCTGGTAACTCCTCCCCTAACCTGCCACGCCCCTCCTCGGCCCCGCCCTTTCCTGGCTCCTCCCCTCTGCTCAGTACCCCCTTCCCCACGAGGCGCCTCCTCTCTGGATGCTGCGTTTGGTCTTCGGTTCCAGCGGTTCCAAAACCTGCCGGCGTCCCTGGGCTAAGGCCTTCGCTCAGGCTGCTCTCCATTCCGGCCGGGCTTCCCCGAGCTCTTCCCACTCCCTCTCCCTCCTCCACACTTGAGGCCCCCCGCCTACCTCCAGCGATCCGCCTATCGCCACTTGCGTCAAGCTTCTGGCCACCACCTGCGGCGGGAGGGAAGGGTGTCGGGGAAGTGCGGTTCTGGGGTTCCCTCGAGTCCCCCCCGCCGCTGACGTCTTACCTCGTTGTAGGCGTAGAAGTCCAGCACCGCGCTCAGCGGTGCGGAGGAGGCGACGGCGGCGAAGACTAGGTGGGGGAACTACGAAAGAAGGGGCGTCAGCCTGGGACGAGGAGGGGTGCCCGTGCCCGGGGTCCCTCTCCGGCCCCAGGGACCCGCGTGGGTAGGGAGAGGCGTGGGAGTGCGCCCCAATACCCCTGGTTCGGACCCAGGAGGAAGACCTCTCCACCCCCGCCCACCCAAGGAATTCCCGGGACCTTCAACCGGGTCCAAGTCGCCAGCGAGCCAGCGTAGGAGCCTCCGAAGCAGATCCAGGGGCTGGAGGAGGACACGTTGAGGAGGCGGGAGAGCGCCTGGCGGGCGGACGCCACGTCAGCCAGCCTGCAAAAGAGCGCAGGTTGGACCCTCCAACCCTGGGGGCCACTGTGCAGACCCAGACCACAACCTAAACTGGGCTCCAGTCTCTTCCCGATGACTCTCCGTGCCTAAGCCAAGGGAGAAGGCCCACCTACCTTCTTTAAATACCCATTTTAGGTGAGAACGGAAAAGTTTCCTAGCACGTTAGATTAAAAATTTATAAAAATAAAGAGAAGCTGGGGTGGTCAAGGAGGGCGCTTCAGAAGAAGGAGCGTTCTGAACGGGCTAAGAACTGGGGGCTGGGAGAAACCCAAAGAGAAAGGAGAAGGATAGTGGGGTGTCCTTTCTTTCCTCAAATTTTCTGAGGTGGTTCTCAGTCAGTGCCATGTGATTGCCCATTCGAAGCCAATTGAGCTATAGAGAAGATTGAGAAGGAGAGACACAGAGACGGAGTCAGGGCAGGGAGAGTCAGGGAGACCGGTAGGAGAAGAGAGGTACAAAGTCAGAAAGAAGAGATAAGCCTGGCTGAGAGCACTGAAGCCGGTGAGAGGTTGGGGGAAGAACTGGTGAGGACTGGTAACAGAAGTGAGCCGCACAGGAGAGACATAAAAACGTCTGGGGAAAGGCCGCTTCTGGAAGAGGGCAAGATTCCAAAGCCTGAGACTGGCGTGTATCTGCCAGTGTGTAGCAAGAACTGGAGTGTAGCCGAGTTACTGTGAGTGTGAGAGTTAACTGGGGAACCTGCGGCTCCTACAAAGACTTCTGAGCAGCAGGGGAGATGTAAGGAATGGACTTGAGCGTCATGACCCAATTTACACTCAGACAGGATTCCATTTTCTACATGGAAGTCAAGGACAGAAACAGGATGCGGCTATAATGTTGCTAAGAGCTTCTGGTGGGCTGGAATAGCAGCCCACGTGAGAGCTTAGCCTTGACAGAATGACAAGAATGGAGGACAAGAGAAAGGTGGAAATAGAGAGAGGCAGAGTTAAGAGATGGCAGGCGAAAGTGTAAGGGACTGTGAAACACACAGGGGAAAGGGGAAGCCGGAGACTCGGAGGATAGTGAACCGTGGCAGAGAGACACAGTTGTGGAGTCCTGTGATTCTAAACACCTTCTTCATCCCCACTCACGCATGGCGGCTGGACAGGTAGCGAAGCTGGGCCATTTCCAGGCCCCCAGCAGGCACACTTAGACCATAGAATCTGTGTTCCAGGCTTATCACCAGGGCCCCCCAGGCAGGGGCCAGCGCTACAGGGTGCCCTGTGAAGAGCACACGGTAGAGAGGTGGATGTGAGTTATGAACTGTCATCTACAGTTCCCCTTCCTAGTCTCCTCCGGCTCCGGAAAGCTTGCTTCTTACCTGCCATCACTGAGCCAGGCCCGAGGCTGCCCTCACCCCCTATGTGCAGAAATACGGGTGCATCTTGGCTGGCTCTGTGTTGATCATTCACCCAGTACCGCTGAGAGTGGGAATGAGAGAGAGGAAATGACACAGCTTGACTCCCTTCTCCCTCACTCCAGCCTGTTCCCAAGGAACCTCGCCTTCTACTTAGTGGTGCCTTGGCTGGGCTTGTCTAGGTCACATAACTGTAAAAGTCGACATTCGGGGCCCCGGGAGGCAGAAGGGGGAACTCTGGTTACTCCCAGCTTGCTGCGCTTTTGCAATGTGCTCAATAAAGTATTTTTTCTTAAAAAAAAAAAAAAAAGATGTTTTTATTTTTAAATCCTCAGGACAGAGGGAACTGGCTGGTGCATGGTAGGCGTCTGCTATTTTGTGAGCAGTAATAGTGACTAGGTAGATTTAGAAATAGTGGGGCAACCTTTGGAGATTATATACAGGGGAGGCAATGGAAAAAGGTAAATTTTTTTTATTTCTTCTTGTGATTTTTAACACCTGTTGTCGCTATTGGTTTCAAGGCTAGTTTGAATTCCAGCTACATGTTAAAATCTGCTGTTTTTTTTTTTTTTTTTTTTTCAGTCTATGCTACCCACACTGGCCTTAAACTGGCCATGGAGCCCAGGCTAACCTTGAACTCCCAATCCTGCAGCCTTCCTCTCCCAAGTTCTGGAATTACAGGTGTGCAGGGCAAGGCAGAAATCAGAGGATGAGGAAGTGGGGGGGGGGGGACACAGACTAGATATAGAGTAAGTTGACTGACAAGACAGTCCAGTGGACAGTGGCCTCCTCTATTAGCCTTACCTGCAGGAAGGTCCGTCTGTCGGAGGTGTTGAAGGGATCCAGTGGTTGCTCTAACCACCCTTGTTTGGGGACAGGCCCAAGACCCTGGCCTAGACCAAAGGCCGGATTCAGGCTAGAGCTCTCCTGAAATCTCTGAATGTGTTCTCTCAGGCGCCTGAGAAGCAAGGCTGTGGAACAGGAAGGCATGGGAGTTAGGCTGGGCTCTGTAGGTCTCCCTTGACCCGAAACCCTCTCTTACCTGGAGCTGACATTCCCCAGAGGGAAACCAGAAGCAAGAATCCGAACCAGGGAGCCTTGACTGCCATTCTGTCCGGTACTCTGTGTAAAGAAGGGTTCCAGGCACCCTACTCTTTTTCCAGCCCTGAAAACCTATAATATGTCCCCAGGGCTGGGCTTCGCTTTCAGGAGAAGCTCGTGTTTCTTTCGGGACGCCACTCCTGGCAGGTTAGGCGTCCTCAGTAACCGCTAAAGCATAGCCAGACGCCAGAGTCTGGAGAGGCTGGCTGCCTTGGCAATCCTCCCTGTACCCAGCTTTCTTCTCCTCCGGCCCCTCCAGCTCCTCTCTGTGCTCCCGTTTCCCCCTCGCCACAGTCCTCGCCTTTTCCCT